TTATGAATCGTAATGTAAATATCTTTTTGTTTTCCGATGGTCTCAGGTGACCCCTGTGAAAGGGTCGTTCGACCCCAAAGGGGTCGTGACCCACAGGTTGAGAACTGCTGAGTATCAGTAGGTGCACCAGATATAGCATAGTAAATACTACAGTTAAAAAAATGAGACTGAATTTTTTTTTAAATCCCATATGCCCACAAGAGGGGCCCCTTAAATATAAGGATGAAGATAAGTTGAAACTAAAAGGATGAACAAAGATATACTATATGATCTCTAATTGAAAGAAAGATCATGTGTCAGACAAAGTAGCTTTTAAGACAAAAATCTAATAAAGAGGGACATTTCATAAATAGAAAAGGGTCAACCTGTCAAGAAGATATAAAAGTTCTAAATTTGTATGCGTGTAATAACAGAGCAAAACTTGCCATAAATCAATTAAAATATATGTTCGCACAAAAACTTGGACACAATTATTCACAGCATATTCATAACAGCCAAAAAGTAGAAACAACCGAACTGATGAATGGATAAACAAAATGTGGTATATCCAAGCAATGGAATATTATTCAGTCATTAAAAAGGAATAAAGTACTGATACATGTTACAACATGGATAAAACTTGAAAATATTATGTGGAAAAAAAGCCAGACACAGAAGGCTACATACTGTACGATTCCATTTATATGAAATGCCCAGAATGGGGAAAATCAGAGATAGAAAGCAGATTAGTGGATGTTAGGGTCTGGGGAGAAGAAGAAATGGGGAGTGACTGCTAATGGGTAGGGTATTGGGGGGAGGGGTGATGAAAACATTCTAGAATTAAACAGTGGTAATGGTTGTGCAATCTTATGAACATACTAAAAACTACTGAATTGTATACTTAAAAATGGTGAGTTTATAGTATGTTAGTTATAGCACAACTTTTTTAAACCATGTAATTAAAAAAAATTGTTAGAAGTAAAAAGGAGAAACAAAATCTACACTCATAGTCGGAGACTTTCCTAGCGTGGTCACAGATGGAACCAACCAAAACCAATAAGGGTACAGATTTGCACAATGCAAGTAAAAGCTTGTACTAACAGACTCAGGTAGAAAACAGCAGGCAGTAGCTGCAGAAGAAAAACTGTCACTGACGGAGCCCTCACCTCAATTAAGCCACCTGTTATCACACACCCCTTAATAGATGAGGAAATGGAGGCATAAAATGACCAAAGAGGGTGAGCATCTGGCCCAAAGTGACCAGCTTGCTCTTAACCTGTTATACTGTCCCCCGGTACTGAATTTCAGAGAGATTTGACTAGAATCACAATTCATATAAATACACC